CCGGGCCGTTCCGAGCGCGCGGATGGCCGAGGGGGGACCCGGGATCCGATCGGGATCCGATCCGGCCCCGGCGCACTCGCCGGGATGACCTTGGGGTAGACGTCCCTAGGGGTTTTGACCCTCATTCATCGGCTGCGGTGCTCGTTAGACCCGCCTTTGACGGTGGTTAGTAACGGAGAGGACATGTCGAATGCCGCAAGGGCCCTGGCTCTTCGGAGGCGCCCGCCATCCCTGTTAACTGTCACCGCTGCTCCTCCCGCTACCACCGCCCCCACTTTATAGATGGGGATCGGGGGGCAGCATTCATCCTGCGGGGCCAAGGTCACGCCTGCCGCTCGGGGGTTTGATCGAGGTCCGTCCGTCGACCCCTCCCCCTCTGACCACTGAACCACCCGCGCCCCCTGTGTTCCAAGGCTGCCTTGCATTCCTGCCGCCCGCCCGCCCGCCCGCCCCTGAGCCTCGGGCACGCTGAGCGGGTGTTTGTCTCCTTGTCTGTAGGTGGCCTTCCCTTATGAAACACTACAGCCCCACCGACTACGTCAATTGGTTGGAAGAGTATAAAGTTCGGCAAAAAGCTGGGTTAGAGGCCCGGAAGATTGTAGCCTCCTTCTCCAAGAGGTTCTTTTCCGAGCACGTAAGGATCTGGGGACGCCGCGCCAGGCTTCTGCCTGGGGGGTGGGGGGTTGTGTGTGTGTGTGGCTCTGCAGGCATTAGCTCATCCAGCCTTTCTGCTATCTCCCTTCCCAGTGCTCACTGTCCCTTGCTCACTGAGAAGGCTGCAAGGGGGCATTGTGTCCGCTTCCTCCCGTCCAGCAGCATGCAGCCATTTGTCCTGCCAGCTTTACTTTTCTATGGCCAGAGAGAGGAGGGAGGGAGGGCCCAGCAAGCAGCACAATGAGGGAATGCAGATCAGCCTTAGTTCTCTACCAGTGGGTTAACCATGTTTTGTGTGTGTGTGTGTGGGGGGGGGGGGGTGGTTTTTGTTTGTTTGTTTGTTTGTTTTTGCAACCTCCACCTGACTTGGGGGAATCATCAAAAATTGAGCACTTACAAATTTCACCCAATTGTTTGCCCAAAAGGGTTGGCGAAATGAATACGGTTCTTCTCTCTGGCTTTGCAGGTTCTAACCAATAGTGAACTGATTGTTTTTTAAGCCAACAGGATTAAAAGCTGTCTGTAAATCAGAATGATTACTCCCTCAAGTAAATTGTCTTGCATCATGATCTCTGAAAAGTTTTCTCTTATATCTTGCTGAAATGCATTTTTTGTTGTTGTTGCTTTTGTTTTTCCTTCCATAAAGCATTCATAGAAGTTTCTGTATCAGGTCCTGATTCTTAACTTTTTGTCACTCTGGAAAATAGTCCACACTAATCCTTTAAATGTACTTCTGGTGGGATGGGGGTGGGAGGGCTAGAAATACAGCCAGTCTGATTTATTTTACTATCCTGGTTTCCTGCAGATTAATTCCTATTTTCTAATTTTAATTACTGCTACTTAATGGAGTTCATACATTTGAAATGTTTTCAAGGCTCTTTAAGTTTTGAAAAGGAGAGTTCAAATTTTGGGGAGAGTTCTCCTATGGGGAATACAACTGGATATTCCCTAATGTCATTCATGTCTATAAATAAATGATTATTAATTTTAGAATGGACAAAATTCATGTTCCATTTTGGATAAGGCATGCCCTGGCTAAACGGATTCAGAATCACAGATTTTAGGTGCTTGTTTAAAAGTGTTTGCACACACATGTATTTCATGTTTTTGGTCTCGGGCAACTAATTTGCGACCTCTGCTGCTAGTCCAGCTGATTTTGTGTGCATTTCTAACAGCCTGTGCCTTTGTCTAACGATAATGAACTGTTGTGTTTTTTCCTTAGCTCCCTCTTGCCCTGTACTGCTGCTTAATTAGAATTATGTCGAGGACTTTGAACATAGGGGTATCGTTAAGATTGGTCCTTGGGTGGGCGATGACTGTGGCTCAGGACCCTTTATTCCTGTGTTCTCCGCATGCACACAGGTTGACATGAAGTTTCCTGGCTACCTTCAAAAAGAAAAGTGGGAGAAGTAATGGAATTTTAAACTGAGGGATTCTTAAAGCTCATTGGGACCATTGCCTCAATTTGCAGAGGGGAAAGCATGCCCAGTGGGTTGAGTAGCCCAAAGCACTGGACATCTCTCTCTGGCCCTTCCCTCCTAGTTAAATGCAACACAGAATGCATGAGATAGTGATTGTGAATTCGATTTTGCATTTCTACTTCTTGTTACAGAGCTATTTTTCTTCACATTAGAATTCTCGAGTTAACAGCTTCAGAAATTTCATGAAATTATATGAAAATATAATTAATTTGCAACTAACACCAAGATCTGAACAAAGTATTATTACTTTCCACCCATGGCAGGTGGTACAGGATAGTATGGGATAGGTGTTACCACTTCGAGAAAAATGACCATCTTTCTTTGCAACTCAGATTTGTGTATGAGTGACAAGGACATTAGTACTCGTTACTGAGGCCTGTTTGTATATGTCTTCTTCATAGGTCCCTTGTAACGGTTTTAGTGACATTGAGAATCTCGAGGGGCCAGAGATATTTTTTGAGGATGAACTGGTGTGTATCCTAAATATGGAAGGAAGGTAAGCCATAGTTATAGCAGGGATGTTTCTGTTTGTTTGTTTGTTTGTTTGTTTTCATAATAACCCCAGAATTAGTTGCTGTAGTTTGTGTGTGGCTGAACCATGGACATGTATTTTCAAATATCTTATATGTTGCTACAGTTAACATTTTTGAAAAATCCTGTGTAAGTAAGGTAGGTACACCAAGACAATTGATACTAAAAAAAAAAAATCCTTTTGGAAAGAAAAGAGAATTGATACGTGTTTAGTCCTACTACAGGTCAAACACTGCTCTGAGCACTTGTATCTATCATGTCATTTGGGTAAGAAATAATCTTACTTTGGTCTTAAACATTATGGATATTTGGTTGGACCCTTCTTTTATCTCCCCTGATCAAGAAGAACCCATTATCTCTTGGTTGTTGCTTAAAAATTTTTATGATTCATATTTTCCACTGTGAGGGTTAATTACCAGCTTGCCTGAAAGGTGACTTGGCTTCCAGCCTAACTTACCTATGAGTTCTGGGAACTTTATTGGTGATGGGAGATAAGAATGTTAGTTTAGCATCTTCCTTAAGAGAGATCATTGTGCAATACCTCACAAACAAGGCATTAAGATGTTTTCCTTGCTGTTTTTAAGGTGGTGTAAGAGAGATAAATATCTGTTAGTGGAGCAACTGTAGGGGAGAGGTAAGATGTGTCACTATTCTAGGCCTTGGATGAGTTCAGATCCAGAGGTCATTTTTCCATTTCTATTTTGGTTTTTCTATAAATGAATTGAAGTATGATCTGATAGCCAGTATTGTGCAGCCTTAAAAATAAAAGCTGACTTGTCCTTTTTACATTTATATACATATACTTTTACACACATACATGTAAGATCATATATACTGAGTTTATTTCGTTTTGATAGGATCTTTAGTGCAGACTTTGTTTTTTTCTTATTTATGCTGGTTTTCTCTCCCTCCTGACCTCGTTTGTATTGGCCTTCCCCTGTCCCCATCCTGTAATTCATGATGACACACTAGGTTGTATTCTTCCATGCTAATATGCACCGATATATATGGGAACCAGGGGATCATTATTTAAAAAAAATAATGATCTTAAAATAGGTACTTTTCTGTATCTTTTTTCTCATTCAATATTACCTTACTGAAATGGATTCTAATCAACTGGTAAAAAATCTAATTCACTGTTTTTTTTAATATATTTTATTGATTTTAGAGAGGAAGGGAGAGGGAGAGAGAGATAGAAACATCAATGATGAGAGAGAATCATTGATCAGCTGCCTCCTGCACACCCCCTACTGGGGATCGAGCCCACAACCCAGGCATGTGCCCTTGGCCAGAATCTAACCTGGGACCCTTCAGTCCACAGGTCGATGCTCTATCCATTGAGCCAAACCAGGTAGGGCACTAACTCACTTTTTTTTAATGGCTGCCTACTGGTTTGTAGTGTATACTATAATTTACGTGTTTAACCATTCCCCTATTGATGGGTAACCACTTCTCCATTTTTATGTGACTGTGGAGGGTGATGTTTTGGTGGTTTTACTTCTCAGTGAAAGATTCCTGGGACCGGATTTCCTAGGTCGGACTATAGAAAGTTATTGCAAAACACAAAATAAGAGCATGCCCTTGAATAGGAAGACTTACCATCACAAAAAAAGTCAGTTCTTCCAAAATTAATACATAAAACTATTGCCATTTTAATTAGGAACCAAGGAAAATTTTGGGAGTTTTTGTGTGTTTTAATTGGGTAATACTGTCAAAAAAGAATAAATTCATAAGAAGAGCCAAGAGAAACCCCAATTTTTAAATACTCACAATGGGAAACTTGCATCACAGATATTAGAGCACATTATAAAGCTACCTGTAATGAAAATGATACAGTGTTTTTAAGTAAATATCAATAGTCACGTCTGTGGCAAAGGGTAATTCAGAAACGTCCCAGCATGAAAGATAAATTTAAACTCAGAGGAAAAAAGTTGGACTATTTAATGAATGCTTTTAGGCATAACTGATTATCCATCTGGAAGTAAAACTTGCATCATATATAAAAACAAAATTCCAAAATTAAACAACTTAAATTTTATCACAGTGAAAAACCTTCAAGGAAATGGGAGATTTTATGTATAATCCATGGAGACCTCCTTAACCAAAAAAATAAACTTCTGTATGACCAACGAAACCATAAAGTCAATATAATTCTTTAAATTTCCAAGAAGAAATTGAAAAATGGATAGGGGGATGACATTTACAGAAGAGCAAATCCAGGTGGCTGGCAATTAAGTACAAAGACCTTTAAATTCACTTTTCAAAGACATGTCAAAGAATTGTGAAATATTGCTTTTTTTTACTTATCAGATTGGGGGAAAGACTGAATATGCACAACCAGTAAAAACATACATTATTATAGTCTTTTTAAAAATAAATAACATAGATTTGTTACCCCTTGACCTGACATAGATTTTGATCTTAAAACAGGACTGTTTTTAGCCCTGGCTAGGTGGCTCAGTTAGTTGGAGCATCACCCAATACACCAAAAGATTTCGGTTTGATTCCTTGTCAGGGCACATACTTAGGTTGTGGGTTCGATTCCTGGTCAGGGCGAACATGGGAGGCAACCAGTCGATGTTTCTCTCTCACATTGGTGTTTCTCTCTCCCTTCCTCTATTTCTAAAATCAACTAAAAAATATATGTATATATATTCTCAAGTGAGGATTTAAAAAATAATAAAAAACTGTTGTTTTTAGGTAACAAGGGATAGTCACATTTATTAAGTACTTTGGAATGTCAGTTTTTATGAAGGACCCTATTTGTATTTATTCCTTCCAAATGCTTGTTGTTTGAATATGGAAAACATAGGAAGGAGCAAGGGTGTTTCTGTAAATGCTAAAGCACCACTCTCTGGATATTTGAAAACAATTTGCATTTATGGTGTTCTGTGTGGTTTTTAAAAGGAGCATATCCTGCAATAAAGATTTGAAACAACATATTAAAAGGGTACACAGTACTTGAGAAAAAGGACCTAGAATGACCAACATTGAGACATATTTCAGTAAAACTACTGGATATTAAAGACGGATAAGTCATTTGGTCATCCAACCAACCAAACAAAACAACAACCACAAAAAAGCAAAGTCACTTCTAAGGAAAAGAAAATCAGAATATTATGTTCAGTGCCAGAAGAAAAGAGAGTAGCATACTTAAGATACTCAGGGACCAAAAATGTCAGCCAAGGATTTTTATATCCAGCCAAACTGACTTCCAAGTATAAAGCTGCAGACAGACTTACCAAATTGCAAGGACTTAGGGGCTTTTGAGCTCTTCCTGAGAAATATGCTAGAAAATGAACTTGAAAAAAGGCTTTGACAAGGATTAGTACATTAAATATGTACTTGCTTTAAAGAATATGTATGTACTTGTAGAATTAAATTCAAATGACAGTAGGGTAGTCAGTATTGTATGTAGTGGTCATAAGCCTTGACAGTGTGGATATAATACCGCTGTTTTAACAGCAGAGAATGGGGGAAAACATAAGCAAAATACTTAGCAGTTTTTCAGTAATCATCAAGGTGATGAGAATATTGGAGAGTGTGTGAGAGAGAGAGAGATGCGAAGTAAAGCAAATGAGTGTCACATTTGACCCTTGTACAACTTGGGTTTGAAATCTGCAGGTCAGTTCTGCTGATATGCAGATTTTTTTTCAAATGACCTTCACAGTTCAGTTGGGCTGTTACTTTGAGCAAGGTGGGAAACGCTGGAGAATTTGGGACAGAGAGCTTTTGTGCTGTGATTTGATATGTTCCCTGGAGTGCTCTGGCTACTGTATTGAGCTTAGACTGTGAGGGCCAAGGTTTGAAGCAGGACGCTCAGTAGGGAGGATGCCACTGTGATACAGACAAAAGGTGACAGTGGCTTAGGTGAGTTAGTGGGAAGTGCTCACTTTCCTGATAGAACTGACAGCATTGGTGGATGGGTTGAATGTGGCTAATGAGAGAAAGCCAGGAGTCAAGGATGATTCAAGGTTTGAGGCCTAACTGGAGGGATGGAGTTGCCTTTATCTGAGACTAGAGGCCTGGTGGATGAAATTTGTGCACTTGGAGGGGGCAGGTTCCTCAGCCCAGATTGTGAGAGGGTACAGGCCAGGCCGAGGGACCCCACCAGTGCACAATTGGGGCTGAGGAGGGACGCAGGAGGGCTCTAGGGCTTGTCCAGCCTGTCTTGCTCAGTCCCGATCGTCCGGACCCCAGCAGCAAGCTAACCTACCGGTCAGAGCATCTGTCCCCCTGGTGGTCCGTGCACATCATAGCGACTGGTCGGCCAGTCGACTGTCTGCCCCCTGGTGGTCAGTGCATGTCATAGCGAGCGGTTGAGTGGTCTTAGCATATCATTAGCATATTACGCTTTGATTGGTTTTATTATATAGGATTTATTATATAGGATGGGGATGACTCTAGGAGCAGAAGAACTTGAACATGTTAAGTGCCCAGCCTGTTTTGTCTTCCGGACGGAAAGTATAGTGTCAGTCACTGGTGACTGACTGACTGGGCGCTTAACGTGTTAAGGGGCTCACCAGATCCCTAAGTGGGGCAGTGGAGTAGCAGTTGGATATATAGGTCTGGAGTACAGAGAGGAAATCTGTTCTGGAAAATAAGTTGGGGACTGTCCGTGTGGATAATACTTGAAACCATGAGACTGGGTGAGATCACCTTGGCCTTGAGCGTAGGAGGGAAGCAGCAGCCCAAGGCCTGAGCTCCCTCTGCCAGGTGCAGAGGGCCCAGCCAAGGATTCCAGACACACAAACACACCCCCACCCAGGCCCACCCCACTCCCCTCACTTTTCAGGTTTCTCTTTTAGTAACTTTTAGTAACTCTGAAACCAAACAGATAACTTTCTTGAATTTCAGCCACGACTAGTGTAATAACAAATGCACATCCTGAATTGTATATTACAAATGCACAATAAAGTCCTAAATTGTGTTGTCTGCTTCTGTGATAATAAGTACTATATGATCGCGAACCAGTTATAGCTGTCTTGTTGAGTAAGTAGACTCTTTACTTGGTATGACTAGTGTGAAGTAAAAAACTAATCATTCAAAGTTGTAATATCTTAATTCTTATTGACTGATAGTTTGTTTGTTTTTTCCAGGAAAGCTTTGACCTGGAAGTACTACGCCAAAAAAATCCTTTACTACCTACGACAACAGAAAATTTTAAACAATCTTAAGGCTTTTCTTCAGCATTCGGATGACTATGAATCGTATCTCGAAGGTGAGGCTTTAGCAGCGCTGTCTCAGTGGGCAGCTAAGCTGTGCTGGGAGCAGCGGTGGAAACTGATGAGCCGCAGTGGAAAAGGCAGCTCAGCCGCATGGGCTTCTGGAGCTCGAGTGTGTGGTCCGGTCGTGTAGGTGGGCAGAACTATTAAACGGAGAGCTGAAACTTTGTTAAAACCTTTAGCTGTCAGCTGAAGAGACAGTCTTCTCTCAAGATGCACCTTCGGTTCAAAGCATGAGAGGCTGATATTTCAGATAATGAAATAAGTCCCTCTTTTCCTAAGCTTTGAAGCCTCACTTCCAAATCAGAAATCAGTTGGTCCACTTTTGTCTCCATGTGACTGGAGCAAATCCCTTGCCCTCTGGTTAGAGTGTAATGAGGACGAAATGTTCTTGCGCATCAGTGAGTCTGCCTGGCCCTCCTGAGAAATGAGGGGGGAGAAGTCGAGTGGACAAGAGTGAGAAAGGCCGTAACTTTCTGCTCCTACCAACTTGAACAAGAACAACATGTGACTATTTTTCCAAACGATGTTCAATTCCTAGCACATTACGCAAACACTCCCAGAAGCTGTGGTTATGAAATACATACATTCCCTATTCCCAGAGTTTTACCCAATTGCTTCTATCAGTGTTTCTTTCCATCACATCTCCGTTCTCGTCCCTTCTCGTGCCGGCTCTCACCACCTCTCCCAGCCCGGCTTTCTAAGTATCACTTGCTTTCATGAGCCTCACCCCCTTCTGCCCTCCAGCCAACCGCCTTATCAGTCAATCCAGCCTTGTCCCCACAGCATGCGAACCAGCAGTGCGGCCAGCTGATGTCCTGCTTCTCATCCCACCTCTGCCTGCTCAGTGCCTCCATAATCCAGTCCTTCCCTGCCCCAGGCTCTCCAGAGTGTCCCATCCACTCCAGCCAGGCCATTGTCCTCACTTCACCCTACAGGTGCCCCTGGCTTCACATCCTCATTCATGGTATCCCTTTTCCTTCCAATTCCTCTTAAATCCTACTCACCCTCTGAACGTTCAGTTTCGGGTTCCACTTCGAGTTTCTCTGGCTACTGCAATACCAATTTTACTCACCTCGGAACTAAAGCAGGAGCGTTGGCTACCAAATTCTGTTGCATCATCTCTGTCTCGTGTGTGTACAAGTCGTTTCTCCAAGTAGTCACTGGTTTTCTTGTGTCCCTTGTCTTTGTGCTGCCATCACTGTCTACTCCACAATGCCTGGGGCAGACGCTGGGTTGTATGGATGTCTTCTGTCATCCAAAACGAAATGAAAGGTCTGTTGCAGCCCATTGAAATATCCTCGCCACCCCGCTCTCTGCTGATGAGCATGCTGGCATTGCGAGTCCTCCTGTCTTGTTTATTCCACAGTCAAGAATACTTTGACAAGCTTTTTTCCATGGCTTACTAGTACTTATGAAACTGAGTACTTTTTCATCTCTCAGTTATAAAGTAATGTTACCATTTTCAAGTAACCCATCCACATCAGTGCTGTAGGCATTGGGTAGCCATTGGAGGTTTGAAGTAGTTGAGGAAATGGAAGTATGCTCCAGGATTTGGTCCTTGTCCACTGACTAGATAATCTGATGCCACTGGCACCGTCTGGGAATCAGCGCTGGGATGGAGTGGACTTGGGAGTTTGGCAGAAGTTCCTTCCCCGTGCAGGTAGAGAGCTGAGTTCCAAGGAGGCCCGGGAGCCAAACCCCCGCTGGTGGCAAACGGACTGGGGTCCTGATCTCTCCACGCCATTCACCTGCTTTCAGTTCCTTAGGGTGTGGGTAAGGGGCCAGGATTCCCAGCTGGTTTGAAGCCACTTGAATTTAAAGTGATTTCCCAACTCAACATGTCCTACAGTCACATGATCGCAAGAGTCCATAGGGCTCTGGTTAAGAAGTGACCGAGGGCAGTGCAGAGGGGACTGGCAGGGACCGTGTGCAGTGCACGCTGTGCAGCTGCTTCGCCGCAGGGTCCTTGAGGGTAGCTGGTCGCCTGCTTTGAAAGTACGATTATCTCCAAAGTCCATTTACTCACCTTGGGGAGGGACAGTTTGTTGAAATGGCATATCTGTCGCTAAGAACTTACCACTATTTTTTTAAGTTAAAGGACTGTTTTACAACATTGTGTTCAGAGTTGTTGGGTTTTAAACTGTAAGGGAATTAGAAGAAGAGAGAAGTCGTTTGAAAGATCTCCTTTTAGCCTTTATTTCTCATGATAGAACATGGAAATATGCCATGTATCACTCAGAGTTCAGACCTCTGAAAGAGGTTCGGTGACGTGTCCCTTGTCTTTGTGCTGCCATGGTGACGCCTTTGTGTGAGGGTGTCCTTGGCCCTCTCAGTGTCTTAGCGGCCAGCCTGACATCCAGGATACGAAGCTGCTTGTCTGGTGGGATGTTGTCAGGAGCTGTGGCCTCAGGCATCTGGGGCAAATGACAAACTAATAAGAAAAGGGTAAAAATAGGAATGTATTCACTAATTCTTGTTCGTGTTCAGGTGCTGTGTTTATCGACCAGTACTGCAACCCTCTCTCCGAAATCAGCCTCGGAGACATCCAGGCCCAGATCGGCAGCATCGTGGAGCTCGTGCGCAAGAGCCTGCGTGGCATCAACAGCCGCCACCCCAGTTTGGCCTTCAAGGCAGGTGTGGCATTGCTTTGGATCCCCTCTGTGCACAGGGACACCTAGAGTCATTGGTTCCTTGGAAATTCTGCAGTGTGTTCCCCCTTGTGTCACAAAAACACTGACACAACAATGTGTTCACCTGGATAACGTAAAAGATTTAAATACCCATTCCCTTCTCCAGCCTGGATTGGTAATACCTGACCGATACTGTTAGGCCGGGCCAGTGTCTGCAGGTTGCAGGTTGTGCTTGTGTCCTCAGGGTAGACTCTGTGTTTCAGGTGAGTCCTCCATGGTGATGGAGCTAGAGCTCCAGAGCCAGGTGCTGGACGCCATGAACTACGTCCTGTATGACCAGCTGAAGTTCAAGGGGAACCGCATGGACTACTATAACGCCCTCAACTTATATATGCATCAGGTAAGTGTGGGTCTATAAAAAATAATTCTGCTCATCTCTGACCATTCCTACGTTTTTTGAGGGCAAGTGCTCCATCTTCTTCCTCACTCAATGCCTATCAACTCATTTTGAGAGTTAGAAACATCGATGAGAGAGAAACATCGATCAGCTGCCTCCTACACACTCCCCACTGGAGATGTGCCCGCAACCCAGGTACATGCCCTTGACCAGAATCGAACCTGGGACCTTTCAGTCTGCAGGCCAACGCTCTATCCACTGAGCCAAACCGGTTACGGCCATTCCTACGTTTTTTGAGGGCAAGTGCTCCATCTTCTTCCTCACTCAATGCCTATCAACTCATTTTGCCTTTACTCTAAGGAAACCACTGTACACTTGTTGTTTCATCCATAAGGTGTCCTTTGTTGGAAAAGCCTTCAAGATGGGCTCTGTGCCTCCATGTATATCTTGTGAACCCTAAACTGTGGAACTACCCCGGCCTTTCCTCTTGTCCTGGCCTGGGGGGAGGGGGGAGGAAGTCTGTGGCCAGCTACGTCACGGACTTTTCTTTTTTATTGGCTCCCTCTTCATATCTCCTCTGTTGCTCTCCATGCTACTTGTATCTTCTTTCACGTCTTGCAGTCTTTCCTCAAAGTGGCCTTGAGTTTCTTCTGGAAGAAGAGGGCTTAAGTCGCAGGTCTGCGGGCTTTATCTGTAAAGGGCCAACAGTGAACTGCTGTGGCTCTTTGGGCCATGAGCTCGTGTCCTACCTGCCCCGTTCTCCATCACAGCTGGAAAGGGGCACAGGCAGCACGAAACAAGTGACTGCTGCGTTCCAATAAAACTTTATATGTACACGTGGAAATTTGAATGTCAGCATTTTCGTGTGTCATGAAATAGTATTTTTCTGACTTTTTTTTAAACATTAAAAACTATTAAAAGTGTTCTTACACAGTCCATGCAGGAGCGGGTGATGGCCCAGATCTGGTCCATGGACTGCAGTTTGCAGACCTCTGGTCGCAATAAATAACCTAATCTTCCACTTAAGTCTCAAAACCTAGCCTCCTGCCTGGGACAGAAATGTGCACCGAAGGAATGAGAACATGTTGCTTTCCAGTGAGCTAAAGCATTTTTCTCTCCTCCAGGTTCTGATCCGCAGAACAGGGATCCCAATCAGCATGTCTCTGCTCTACATGACCATTGCCCGGCAGTTGGGGGTCCCTCTGGAACCTGTCAACTTCCCAAGTCACTTCTTACTGAGGTGGTGCCAAGGCGCGGAAGGGTGAGCCATCTGACGCGGTGGGTGGTCCTGAGCATCATTCCCACGGTGCGGAGAGAGATGTAACGAGGCAGGTCAAGAGAGGGCTAGGAGGTGATGGGACTGTCTCCTTTTTTTAAAAAAAAATGTATTTTATTGATTTTTTACAGAGAGGAAGGGAGAGAGGTAGAGAGTTAGAAACATCGATGAGAGAGAAACATCGATCAGCTGCCTCCTGCACACCTCCTACTGAGGATGTGCCCGCAACCCAGGTATATGCCCTTGACCGGAATCGAACCTGGGACCTTTCAGTCCGCAGGCTGACGCTCTATCCACTGAGCCAAACCGGTTTTGGCCTGTCTCCTTTCTTGACTGCATTTCTCAGTAATTGGATGGGAGAAGGTGCTCTGGATCTATCTGTATTTGTTCTGACAGCTACATGTGAATACACAATTGTCTCAAAAGTTTAATTTTAAAGAATAGGACTCGGGGTTCAGGGCTTATGTGACTCTCAAAGTCTCTTTGTTCCAAAGCAGATCAGATAGAAAGTCTCTTAAAGAAACATAAGTTCCAGTGTTCCGTGAAACCTCCCTTCCCTCCCCACACAGAGAGGGGGAGAGGGAACAGATTAGCCAAGTCCTTCATTGATGTGCAGAGTAAATATTCGTGTACTTATCTCAGACCTCTTGGGCAAGGTTAGTGACTGAAATGCACTGTGGAGTCCAGGTTAATGAATTGTTCTCTCTTAAACTTGGTGTTCTATTGGCATAAAGCTCCTTTCAGCTATTGTCTGACTTTTCTGCAAGAAATCGTTCATCAAGTAGGTAGAATATCTTCTCATTAAATGTGCCATTTAGAGGAAAAAGAAGCAAAGTTATTTAATTACATCCTGTTTTTTGAAACCACTTTCAGATGACTAGTTGTGACATCCTTTGGTAAAGTGATGAGCAGTGTAATAGAAAGGGCCTGAGATTTGAAGTCAGACTGGGTTCAAGCATTTGCTTCCTGAGCCTGTGTCTTCCTCTGTAAAATGGGACTATAGTTTCTCATGAAGCATCTTGGAGGATTAAATGAGATGCCCCAGTGCTTTGCACACATAGCAGAGTTCCTGACATACATAGAAAAGAACTATAACTGGCCTCTATTTCTACCTCCTAGGTCAGTGACGGCGAACCTTTTGAGCTCGTGTGTCAGCATTTTGAAAAACCCTAACTTAACTCTGGTGCCGTGTCACATATAGAAATTTTTTGATATTTGCAACCATAGTAAAACAAAGATTTATATTTTTGATATTTTATATATTTAAATGCCATTTAACAAAGAAAAATCAACCAAAAAAATGAGTTCGCGTGTCACCTCTGACACGCGTGTCATAGGTTCGCCATCACTGTCTTAGGTGAAGAAAGAAAACGTGTATAGTTGGAGCTTCCTGGGTATTCTTCCTTATCCTTTTCTTCTTCCTCTCCTCTCCAGAGATAACCACCAGAAAATAATACTTATTATTTTCATGCAAATTTTAATAGTTTAATACATATGTACTTTTCCTTAAGTAATATGTACTGTGTTCCTTTTTTCCCAAATATGGTCTGTTCCTAAATATGTATTTGATGGTTCCTTTTTTAGATAGCAGGCACCCATTTTCCATTATTAATGGGGAAAATTTTTTTCAGCCCATTTCCATTCCCTGAATAACCCAACCAATCTCCCCAAGTACCTCTAAAATATTCTTAAATGGCTGTATAATAATCCACCCCGATTTCTGCATAATATAAAGCATTTAAAACACCAATTACCATATTACTTACCACAATAACATTACTGAGTACAGTTATGGTAGCAGTATAATTTTGCCTTCTTAGGCTACAATGAACAGTGTAAATGAGCAATTAAATAATTTGTTAGCATCCCAGGTCTCCTGGCCAAAAACAGACATTGAGACCCATCAAGGGCTGGGCTGGGCCCTCAGGGAAAGGCAGAGAAGAGTGGGCAGGGCGAGTGCGCAGGTCTCTCACCAGCAGCTGGCTGCAGGCCCTTCCTCTCCTTCCTTCCTTCCTTCCTTCCTTCCTTCCTTCCTTCCTTCCTTCCTTCCTTCCTTCCTTCACCAAGCCCATACTTATTCACTGTACTTGTACCCTCTCATTAGTCCTAATAACGGGTAGGTGAGACCTCCATCAAGTTCTTCCAATTGCCTTGGATGTTCTTAGTCTTTTGCTCTAATAAACCCCCATATTGATTGGCACCAATGCTTACTTGAATTGCAACCATCCATTAATACGAGAAATATTGCCAGTGTTCCACTCTGAGTCTGTCTGTGAACATATCTCCCATACATGTACTCTAACTCATCCTTAATGTTCTTAAAATGATTTTAATGTTTTCTTCCAGCCCTTTGACATCTTGTTAGACTTGTTCCTAGCACTTTAAATTTTTGTTGCTATTGTAAATGGTAAGTTTTTAAAATTACGTTTTTTAGGGTTGGCATTGTATAGGGATAGGGCTAATATTTAGATATAGGCCTGGTATTGCTGAATAAATGATGAGTGCTAATCACTTGTTAGCTCTCGGCTTTTCTCTGTAGATAGTCATATTGTCTGAATGGTTTTGTTTTTCTCCCTAGCCTTGATCTGTTTTTGTTTCTTTTGCTTATCTAATTGTGCTGGCCCAGTCTTCTGGAGCCGAGTGGAATAGAAACAGTCAGTGATAGCAAACCCCTCGCCTGAGTTTGGCTGTAAATAGAATCCTTGTGAAATCTCACCTCAAGCATGATGGTTGGGGACAGTGTCTTCTTTAGGATTTTCAAAGCTGCCTTCTAAGTTCCTATTTCGCTAAGAGTTGTATTAATAACTACACAGTAGATCTCTTTTCTAAAATGTCTTTTTGTGTCTACTGATAAGATCATATGGTTTTTCTTTATATATGCTTGAAATAGATGTTTTAATGTTCAATTCGTCATTCTCAGGGTATATCTAATGTAATCCTATGGGTTCTTTTAAATACATTGCTGCATTCCATTTGCTCGTGTTTGTGTGTGTGTGTGTGTGTGTGTGTGTGTGTATGCGGCTCTCCTAGATTCATAAAAAGGGTTGCAAAACATTCCTTGTTTCTATGACATTGACAAATGTCTTGCCAAAGGAGGGCTGTTAATATGGCCTCTCTCCCATAGGGAAGAAATCTGAAGCAGTTGCTTAAGGGTCAAATACAGCTGTCCCTGGGACAAAGACCCACCTCCGTGTCTCAGGAGTCCTCGTAGAGCGCTCTGCACGTGGCCACCACCACGTGCCAGAGCAGGTTCATGGAGGGCAATGGGCTTGAGTCAGGAGCACGTGTCCAGCCTGAGGCCCTGGTAGACTCAGCAGGTCTCTGACCCCCTGAGTATCTGCAGAGCTGAGGGCAGGATACTCCTGGTGGCAGGTGCCACACCTTTCTGCGTAGCCTCGAGGGCCCAGGGTCCACAGACATTCACATGCTAATCTGTATGAGGAGCCATCAGACTTCTAACAGGTGCTCCTGGCACTGGGTTCTAGGATTAGTCTCCCTGAAGAACTATATTAGATGGCATGCCGAAGTACTCTTCATCCTAAATACCAGCGCCCTGAGCTCAACAGCACGAATAAAGGCTCAGATTCTCAACTTTGGACAAGGCCTTGTTGTTTTAAGTAGAAATGCTACTGTGTTAACATTCAGTCTCTGATGTGAGCTACTTGTTAGGGGTTGAAGTATTGACTTGCTTAGCTCTGACGTGAGACGTGGCGACTCCATGTGCTCTTCGTACAGGGCCAACCTGGACATCTTCGACTACATCTACATTGATGCTTTTGGGAAAGGCAGGCAGCTGACGGTGAAGGAGTGTGAATACTTGATCGGCCAGCACGTGACTGCAGCGCTGTATGGGGTGGTCAACGTGAAGAAGGTGCTGCAGCGAATGGTGGGGAACCTTTTGAGCCTGGGAAAGCGGTAAGGTTTTCTGGGTTCTCCAGTGCTTCTGCAGCGGGTGTGCCCCCGGGGGCCTGAGGTGCCTTATGGAGTCTTTTCTTTCATGAGCCTCCCTGGGACACAGCAGAGCAGTGGACGCGGTGGCACAGCTGGGATATCTACAGCTGTCACTGCACAGAGAAGCGGGTTCCCGTGACATCATGCTCTCAGGCTTCAGACATGCCCAGTGATTTTCCCTTGAAGTCTCAGTGGGCTTGGGCAGCTTCGCTTTACAAATGTCGGAAGCACCTTCAGCGATAGGAATGTCTCAGACGGCCAAGCTGCTCTTCAGGAGCAGAGAGTTCTCATGCCCACATGCTTCGTCATCTTGTAACATAGCCCTTTCTATCACTTAGATAAGAAACAAGCAGAAGCTTGCGTCGGAGTCCAAGGGAAAGTGTGCTGTGGAGAAAGTAGGAAGCTGTACGCTGTGGCAGAATTTTTTTAAAAATAAGCTTTATTTTTAGAGCAGTTTGAGGTTCACTGTGCAACTGAGCAGAAAGTACAGCAACTCCCCATATACCCCTGCCTCCCAACACACACAGCCTCCTCAGGTCAGCATCCAGCACCAGAGTGGTACGTTTGTTATGATTGATGAAGCTGCATTGACACCTAATCACCCAGAGTCCAGAGTTGCAGTCATACGTTCAGGTTCACTCTCGGTATTGTACCCTCTGTGGGTCTTAGTAAATGTTTAATGACATGTGTCTGCCATTATAGTGTCACACAGAACAGCTTCTGCCCGAAAAGTCCTCTGCTCCGCCTTTTCAGAATTCAATTTTCATTATATGCAATGCTCCTGAGGTAACTACGTAATGAAACACGACTTTTTGTTTAGTGCCCATCACCACAGTGGGGTGTAAAATTTATGTTTCTTTTGTGTGTGTGTTTTTATTAAGACCATTGTAACTATTTGCTGAATAGAGAGGAAGTATCAGAATCAGAAAATGTATGGGATTTGTGTCAATTATTTCTAAAACCTGAGCCTTGCAAAGAGGGTCTTAGAAGCACGCGGGCTAAGACGCAGGTTTCTCTCCCATAGGGAAGGCATCGACCAGTCGTACCAGCTCCTGCGAGACTCACTGGACCTGTACCTGGCGATGTACCCCGACCAGGTGCAGCTCCTCCTCCTCCAAGCCAGGCTCTACTTCCACCTGGGGATCTGGCCGGAGAAGGTAATTATTTGACTTTGATGCTTTGCACTTGCCTTAGAGAGGGAGTCATAGCTTGAAAGGCGGCTCTTACAGATTTGCCCTTATGTCAACATGGAGATAAACACAAATCTATTCAGTCTCCCAGTCTTGGCCCATCATTCAAATTTTTAGGGCTCTTCTTTCATTCTGGGGAAAAAAAAACTGGTTGTATTGCCCAGAGTTGCCCATTCTCTTTGTGGCCAGTGCCTTAAATGTCTAGAACCACAGGCCTCTGTCCTGCCACTCCCCTGTTGCTGCCCCTAAGGAAGATTTCCCCACGTCACCCTGACTTGGCCGGAGACCAACCTGGGATGCTCAGCCTCTGGCTGTGCTGTTAGCAGCTGCAGTGCGTGCACACCACTGCCCTGTGTGACAGCAGAGTTACTTCTCAGATGTGCACACGTCCCGCTGCTGGACTAGTTCAGGCCCTGAATTGGATACTGTTCCGCAGGGAGCTCCCAGTTTTGCCACGGCCCCTGTGGCTCGCAGCAAGCACTTTGAGGCGGCTGCGGTGTGAGGTCAGAAGTGCTCCTCGGAGGCTGTGGGCGGCGATGCTCAAGGCCAGCCGAGCATCAGAGCAGGAGTAGCTGCACGCGTGCATCAGGCCCTGCATGTCTCCCAGGGAAGTATGTAGTGATCCATTTGTTCGTTTAGAGCAGTCTGGTGAGGGCACTAACCTCTGAGCTCTCACAGAGACGTCGTCAGAAAGCCTTCGGCTGTGCTGTTAGAGAGTAAAACCTTTGTTTGAGATAAAGCATCTAAATGACTTGACTTTGCTTAGATTTACGTTGTCTCAGTTACTCACAACTTCAGAGTTGTAAAGTGTTTCTAAGAAACGACACATCTGTAAGAAGGTCCCTAGACTTCTATCCTCGGTGGAGATGTCAGTGTGGCCCAAGGAGCAGTCGCCTAATCTGGTCAGAGTTCCGGGAAATCTAGACTCTGCCAAAGTCCCCACCGCTTCCCAGAGCCTAAATAATCCTGCTGGCCGGGATTCAGTCGCTTATTTTACTTAGTTTTGATAGTAGGATATATATAATCCCTGTGACGTTTTGCTGTAGATTAGTTCAGGAATTTCGTGATAATCTGTGAACTGCAGTGATCCTTTCACAGCAGGGCTTCTTTATAAATAAATCCTGTCTCCGTCTCCGAGGAGTGAGGTTACCGTCTCCTCTGTGGGGAAGTCTGCAGGGGCTCTGGCTTCACCCGCAACTCCCACCTGGCTCAGCTTTGTGCTCGCACGCTGCTTCCCGGGCACCACCTGGAGTCCTCGGGAGGCCAAGACTGCCTTCCTGCCAAGCAAGGGTCACTGTCACTGAAACAAGTTCCCGAGTCCTCACCCGGACAGCACTCGTCCTCGTGATGACCCTTCATTTGCTGCTGGGGAAGGTGTCCCCCGTTCAGAGAGCAGGAATGAAAAGTGGCTCATTCCCAGTGAGTGAGGACTCCCCCTTGTAAACGTGCACTCTAGCCAGGAATCCTGTGGGGCTCCCCAAGAGGAAGGATAGGGGATGCTGAGGTGATTAGAAAGTGCTCCTCTCCGGAAGAAGGGTTTGAGGTGGGCGTTGGAGGATGGCCAGCCATTTCAGAAGGCAGGAAAGTCGGTTGCTGCGGAGCACAGAGGTAGAGAGCTTGGTTTGTGCAGAGGTCAGCTGCAGAGGTCAGCTTTACAAGGGTCCTTGTACGTGTGCATGTAGGTCTGTGTCTGTGAAATAGTTTCCGGGCCTTCGATCAGTTGGTGCAGGGCTTGGAATCTGCTTGACCTTATCGGATGAAAGGGAAACATTCCTAAGCTGGAGAGACCAGAAGGTCTGCGTGATTTCAATTGGATTAAACCAGGAAGAGCAAAATACATGTCCTCTGGTCCCCGTCATAGTAGTCCAGGGGTGTTGTGGCTGTGATGGAAGTAGAGTGTAGGCTGGCCAGCTTTTAAAGCTACTAGCACTTGCCAAACATCTCCCAACCCTATGGCTGCACTGTTTTTTCTGTTTTACAAATAATAAAACTGAGGCACTGAGGAGCTGGGAGCTTGCTGAAGCCTCTTGCTCAGGCATGGATGGCGCCCGAGCCTACTGTCTCCAGAGAAGCCGACAGACGGGCACGCCGTCCTCCCTGCTGCCAGACCTGCTTCCCTACTCTGATCCGTAGTTATCTCCGGTGGGAAAGATATCCCTCCAGTTTTCTACGGCAAACCTGCTGTGCTCCGGGTCCAACTTCCCTGCCTTTCTTGGATCACTAAGTTTTCCTTTATTCTCTTAAAAATATATTTTTTTAAAGATATGTTTTTATTGATTTTAGAGAGGAAGAGAGAAGGAGGGACAGAAACATGAACGATGAGAGAGAATTATCGATCAGCTGCCTCCTGCACACCCCCTACTGGGGATCGAGCCCACAACCCAGCCATTTCCCTGACTGGGAATCAGTTGGTGACCTCCTGGTTCATAGGTTGACAACCACTGAGCCACACCGGCCAGGCCTCATGTCTTCCTTCAACTGCCTGTTTCTATTACCTACCGTCAGCATTAAACATACTCAGATCTCTCTCATCTTTGGAAAAAGAAAATATAAAAGCACTCCCATGACAGCCCTGCTGGCATTTCCCTGCAGCTGCGTCCTTATCTCTCTCTCCTCTGCATGGCTGAAGCCTGCTCGCTGGCCGTGCCGGCCACCTGCCTCGCCTCCCACACACTCCTCAGAACGTGGGGATCTGTTCCCACCCCTCCACCTTGGGAACCGCTCTTGCCAGCGAAGCCAATGACCCCTTTCTGATAAATCATTCTTCTTGTTGCCAAATCCAGCAGATACTTGTTTTTCTTTATCTTTCGTGTTTGCTGGGGGCCACTCCCCACCCAGTACACCCTGTGCCTTCGACTTTGGTTCTTGGCTCTCGGGCTCCTGCCTGTTCCTTGTCCTCTGGTAGTTTCTAGGCTTCCTTTCCCTCTGCACTTTCCCAGGTGATCGCACCCGCTGTCCTTGCTCCAGGCCCCACCTGTGGGCTGCTGGCTCCCGAGTCTGCCTCCTGCCCGGACCTTGGGCTCCAGCAGCCTACCCAGGTGTCCCTCCACGCTGTACACGGCTCTGTCCCTAGGGGGTTGCATAGGCCCCCTGCGTGCTCTCCTTCCTCTGTGCTTACACCCTGCAACCTGTCTGATAAGCTGTAGCCAGAGCAATCTCAGTAAAATCTCAGGACCCTCTGGGTGGCTCCCCGCTGTCTTGAAGACCAGGCTCATTCTCTTGAGGGTGGCCCACTGGGCTCTTGGTGGCCTGGCCCGCCCGCCCAAGCTCTCGTCTCTCACACTGGCCCCTTTAGTCTTCCGCTGCCACAGCCACGTCCTCCACTCGGCCCTGTTTGCGTCAGGCCTGGCATTCGCTGCACCTCTGCCTGGAGCACCTTTCTTGCCCCTCAACTCCACCTGCTTCACTTTTGCCTCCGAAACCCCTCCCCAGGCCCTCAGCATGGGCCCCGCTGCCCTTTCCAAAGTGGCTGCAGTGTGTTGTGCTGCTCCGCTAGGCGTTCTGTCAGGACGAGGGCCAGAGCTGCTGCCTTCACCGGAGCTGTTCCCCTCACTCTCAGCACAGTTTGCCTGTGGCAGGTGCTCAGAAGTTTTCACCCGAATGAGTAAGAAATGCCAGGTCTCCACGTGCTCTGAGTGAGGGGGAGGCTCAGAGGAGGGCCACGTGGACAGTGGGTGTTGGAGAGCAGGCCTGTTTCATGGGAAGGGTTGAGTTTGGGGCGTGTTGAATTTGATAGGACCCGGGGCCACGTGTCAGCATCTGGTAGTGGAAGCCCCCAGAATAGAAGAGCTCACGGACAGTGGCCGTCAGAGGATGGAGCCAGGAGCTCCAGAGAGAGCCTCGGGGGAAGCTGCCGTCAGTGGGCCAGCCGGCCAGCACCCACAGCCTGTGGGCCCGCAGCAGCCTGCTTTTATGGATCTGTTTTATTCGTCCACAGTCACGCCCACTTGCTTATTTGTCTGGCCAATTTCCAGCGACCTAGGGGACTGCTAGAGTCAGACACCGAATGGCCTGCGAAGCCTAAAATACTTACTCTCTGGCCCTTCCCGTGAAAAGTGTATCAGTCATGAGCGATAGGCCCCCTCTTCCGAGATCTCTACCCCAGAAGTTGTGGACTGCGGATGCTAGGCCGAGACATTGGTTGGACGCGGCCTGGCACCCAGGTGTCAGCCCTGTCCTTTGGGAACATACAGGGCCCGGGTCACCAGGCCCTCTCGCCTCACCCTGTCAGCCACACGCCAAGGGAAGGGCGGGGGCACCGTCCCATCCCTGAGCCTCATCTCTGAGACTCTGTGTCAGAATTCCTTCGTGTGCTGAAGATTCCGAGTGAGGCCTGTTTCCCTGCTCTGGTGGGGGGGCTGCGGGGCAGGGGAGCTGTGCCAGGATGGAGCAGAAGCCTGGTCCGCAGGACTGGTGGGAACTGCAGAGGGGAGCACGAGGAACGCGTTACGCAAGCCCAGTCAGTAGGACTTGCTGTTAAAGCCCATGCTGTGCGCTGCAGAGGATAAAGGTTGTTAGTGTCTCCCACGTTAAAGGCCTCTCGGAGGGGGTGGGCTCTCAGCTGACAGTGGGTGAAGCTGGGTTGGGGGTACACGGTCATACCATTCTGACCATTTTTATGTGTTTGAGAACGTGCATAACAGTTACCTAAAATACTCCTACTCCTGCTTTGGTGTGATGGTGGTGAGACTAGAGTCTAGAGTTAGCCGGTCTCATCCTCACTCCAATCTCATAACCTGTGACCTCAGGCCAGTTCCTTGCCTTCACTAGGCCTGCTTTCTCTTCCAGCTGACCTGCAAGTTGGGATGATTAAATGAAATAAAAAAGTGATGGGGTTGGCACAGTGACCAGCAAGAAATAAGTGTTTAGTCAATACTGCGACCAGAAAATCTCAGTCTGGAAGGCGAGGTTGGGTATTGGAATAATGATACCTTATATTACGTAAAATGTTCATTTTCACAATATGACATATGTCAGGAAGACAGGGCCTTTGTGAATCAGAAGCAGCGAGTTTGACAGCCCTGGGACTAGAGTCCAGGTTGCTGGGTCCCAGGACTCCGTAACTAGGGGAACGTCCTGTTCATAGGGAAACTGTGTCAGAGACCGGCCAGTGGCAGGGCCCACCTTGCCGTCCTTTGTCATTGTGTGCGTGTGTTTGTATGCGCCTGCGTGTGCGGGTAGGAACTTTAGCAGAATTTGTGTTTTCCTTGGAGCCACGGGGACAGTAGAGAGAATATAACCTTGAGTTCTGCTGCTACCAGCTGTTACGTAAGCCCCACGTAGATGTGGTTCCTCCCTGCCCACTTGAATACGATATTGCGTCCTGCGTTAACGTCATGGCAATTCCCGGTAGGACTCCAGAACCCCGTTCTGCAGGTGTAAGGTCCGGAACGCATGTGCAGCCCTTCAGTGGCTTCTCTGGTTCTTCATCGTCATGGTCCCGAGGCAGTTCTGTCCAGCGTCCTCTTTCTTGATCGAGGCACGTAGCCTTTGTTTTTCCAACCAGTTCATGAGTGCAGGCGGCTTAAAATTGTTTCCTTTCTGTGTGTCAAAAAGTGAAGCCGATGTCAGTGCATGATGGATGGAACAGTGGACGGTGTTTCTTTCTCTCTCCTTTCCTCTCTAAAACCAGTAAATAACATTTTTTTTAACTGAAGCCCACATTGACCAAGAACGTAAGACCCTTTGAGAGCTCACTGTACCCAGATGTGCCTGTCAGTGGCAGACCCTCCTTCCCCACGCTGACGCCAATCCACCGTGTTTCTCAGCAATTTCTGACATTGACGGTGGTTGCACTTGGGTGCCTGGGCCAGTGCCCAGGATCAGAAGTGAGTGTGCCAGCTTCGAGCAGCCTCGGGGGCCTGGGCCGCCCTCAGGGCCCACCTTGCTGTCCTTTGTCAGGCTAGGTAGGGCTGAATCCAGTGCAGTAACAGGGAAAAGGCCTTAATAAAAATATTATCACCCAGTCTTTCTGTCTTGTCTTGAAGGTGCTTGACATCCTCCAGCACATTCAGACCCTGGACCCCGGGCAGCACGGGGCCGTGGGTTACCTGGTGCAGCACACACTAGAGCACATTGAGCGCAAGAAGGAGGACGTGGGCGTGGAGGTGAAGCTCCGTTCCCACGAGAAGCACAGGGATGTCTGCTACTCCATTGGGCTCATTATGAAGCATAAGAGGTGAGTGCCCACGGCGTCCGCCACGCGTGGCTGCAGAGGACACCGAGGGCCTGTGAGCGGCCGCAGGGACGTGCTTGAAGGGGACCCGACGGCCAGCAGTGCGACCTGGGTCCCACCGCAGGAAGGCCCGAAAGCTGAGCCGTGTCTTTAACCGTTTTGTTTTTTTAAGAAGGGACTTGTGGTCCTGACTGGGAGGTCTAATGTTTTTAGTGACCTCCAGAGGCCTGACCCTTCTCTGTGGGAAGATGGAGCAGCTTCTGTACACAGAGTTTTTCTCTCCTTTCTGTATTGTCCTCGGGCTCTCCTCTCGCTCTCCTGAATTCAGGTTGTAGGCAGGCCTGCTGGGTCGCAGGGTACACACATGGCCGGTTTACTAGACAAAATGAAACTGCCCACAGCGATGACACTGACTTACATCCCCCCAGCTGCGGGGAGCTGAGAGCGCCTCTCCTCACCAGCATGTGCCATGGCCAGACTTCTGAAATCACACTCGGGTTCTCAGTGGCATAAGGTGTTTCATTGTGGTTTTAATTTGCATTTCCCTGATAACCACACCGATTGAGGCTCTTTTCACAGGCTTACTGGTCATTCATGTTTCCTTTCATTAGTGCCTTGTCAATATTGTGCTTCTGATTTATAGTGATTCTTTCTCCGTAGATTTAGTCTCTGTGTACACATAAGTGCCAAATATCTTTTCCAGGTTTTGGTTAGTGTTCTCATTCTTTTATTGCATTCTATTTTTTTAATTTATTATAGAAATTTCAAATACCTAACAGTAAAAAGATTTGAGTACAGGTGATGTCCCATATCAGCTCCACTGGTTATCATAATAGGGTCCGTCTCCACCCGCCCTTCCCTCCTCCCTGGAAGCAAATCCCAGATGTCATTTCATCTGGAGCTATTTCAATGTGTCTGGAAGGTAAGGGCGCTCTCTTTTGTTAAAAATACATTTGCCACCCTGTTGTCCTATTAAGAAAAAAAGAAATAGTTCCCTAACAGGTAGGTAGTCTGTTTGAATCAGTCCTTTATGGCAGTCACATTGATCCATCTCTTCCTTTATGGGTTGTATTTTCAGGACCTTGTTTAGGAAATCATTCGCCATCCCGAGGCGTGAGGACAGTTGGGAAGTTCTGCATTTTACCTCTAGGTCTCTTTTCTCCAGAACCAGTATTGTGCGTTGTTGGCAGGCCTGGTCCTGATACCTTTTTCCATTTTGATGACCAGTTGTTGCCCCATCTCTCTTTGTCAAAAAGTTTATTTTCTAACTGAAGTGCTAGGTTGATAGTAAGAAAGTTTTATAAAAGGGGCAGGAGTGTTCTGAAAAAATACTCAACGGGGAGCAAAAGCAGGTCAGTGTGTAAGAAAGGGAGTTTCAGAGAAGCCAAGCCCTCGCTCACCATCTCATAGGTGCCAGGATCCCAGGGCACTGACTCCATGCTCCTGTGCTTAGGTATGGCTATAACTGTGTCATCTACGGCTGGGACCCCACCTGCATGATGGGACACGAGTGGATTCGAAACATGAACGTCCACAGCCTGCCTCACGGCCATCACCAGCCTTTCTACAATGTTCTGGTGGAGGATGGTTCTTGCCGCTATGCAGCCCAAGGTAAGTGGCTAGTTCCTGTCTGCACCTTTAATAACACCTGGGCATATTTTAAGCACACATTTGAGCACTCAGATACTGTGGGTACAGTCATGAATATCCAATAGCTTACCTCCTAGGGCCGATATTTAGCTAATAAACATGGCTGGTATGCCCTGGTGCAGCCATACCACGGATTAAAAAATCTCCCCCTCCATCACCACAGCTGGGACGCTATTCCAGTGCTGCTGCTGACTTCTGTTCTGATTGGTCATTGCCTTTGTCAATCAAATCCCCAGTGCCTGCTTCCTAGGCATTGCCATTGGCTCCCTCCAGGTAAGGAGGGTCATCTTGTGCCCTGCCCAATACTGCCTGCTTGAACTGGAGGGCATTGAATGGACACTATTGGGGAGCCACCCTAGCACCCTCTGGCCTCCTGAGACTGGCAGCCTCCTGTGCTCCCCTGGAGACACCACTGTGGGAACTGCAGTCAATTGCACCAGCTCTAAGAGCGTGGGGCTGGGTAAGGGGGGCCTCTGGCAGGTGCTAGCCCGGGGCACTCCAGGACAGACAAATGGAGGCAGGTTAGAGACCAAAATGCCTTCACTGTGCGGCTCCCTTTTCTTTGTTCCTGCACTTAATGGGACGAAGTTACTGCAGGCCTGCCTGTGGCAGCATTTACAGCATCCGTTTTATTAATAAAAATGAACACAGATGCTAATGCAGTGTCTGTTAACTCCATTTGAAACTCATTTCCATCCTCCTCATGCTCATTTTGTACATGAAGAAACTGAGGCACGCAGTTATTTAAATATTAACTTACAGAGCATGAATTTGAACCCAGGCAGCTTGGCAAAGCCCTATCCGTAACCATCATGTTACAGCTTTTTGTGTCTGGCCTAAAGCATGTTTGACCTCACTCAGTATTATGTTCTGGTAAACGCTTTAATAGAAATACTGGATGTATAAAAATCTCAGAAGTATCAAAGAGTAGAAAAGGTTTCTTATTAATTGGTAGTAATTCATCAGAAACTGTGAGACGATAACATGAAACAAAAGAAATTCTGTTTCTTGAGACTACAGGTCTCTAACCTGTCAGTGTAATGAGGGAGCTGTAAGGGGGGTTTAATGTCACCCATGTCAGCCAAAGGCGCTGACGATGATTTTATTTAACTTTAGAAACTGTGACAAAAAAATCACTCTATTTCAAAAACTCAACATGATTTGAAAATTGTTGAGTGATCTGTGGACTCTTTGTACCCCACTTGTTAAGCATTTCACACTACATCATGGAGCGTGTCACGAGAATAAAGGTATTGTCTTGTGACCGCCACTTGGCCAGCGCCTGTGGCTTTGCCTCATGCCTTCAGTGCCTATTATATGATATGTGAGTTTCTAGAAACATCTATGTCAACTTTAAAAAGGGCTTTTTGGAGTAGTATAACAGCATCTGGCTTTAGGTGTTCTGAACTCTTTCAGTGTCTCAGGAATTCATCTCAGCATATCCTCAGTAAACATGCAGTGCAGGGTTTAAAGTCGTAGCATGGAATGACTTTATAAGAAAGTTCACCCTCTGGCTGTCAGTTTTACCCTCTAGAACTGAGATCCCACTAGTGATTGTGGGTCCTTGTCACTGAGCAAGACGTTTGCAAACAGAAGAGCAGACAAGGAGATGGTGCGCGTAGTGTGTGATCAAGCCGCTGACAGGTGTGGTTTTAAACAACTTTGGGTGAAGAGCATTTCAGACGTGAATACCCCTGCACCCTCCACTGGAGTCAGCAGTTAGCATTTGACAATATTGGTTTGACCTGCAGATGGAGATTTTCAGTTTTTGCTGAACCGTTTGAGAGAACACAGCAGACATCACAACCTAAACCCTCCCCATGCCTGCTGTAAGAGGAAGGCCACCTGACTGCGTGAGCACAGTTACAGCATCACACCTCGCAGAGAACCCGTTTCATAGGCTCTCATGTCAGTCACCAGTGGTCACAGAATGGCCTTTGTAGGCGTGTGTGCGTGTTCATTTTTCAATCACGATCCGACCAGGATTCATGCACTGCGTTTGGTGGTGTCTCCTGGGTCTCTAGAAAAACCAGTTCCTCATTCTTCCTTTTTTTTTTTTTCTTTCATCCTTTTCCACAAGACTTTGACTTTTTGTTTTTGAAGAGTCCAGGCCAGTTATCTTGTAAAATGTCTAACTTTCTGGATTTGTCATACTGTTTGCTCATCTGTGTGTTGTCTGTGGAAGCTAAGTCTGAGGCTTGATGAGATCAGGCTGTTACTATATTTGGCTGGAATATTTACTATCAGTGCTGTGTGTCACGTTGCCTCTCCTCCGGAGGCCGATGGTGTCCGCTGTCCTGCTGTCAGTGAAGCGGATTTTGGTCACTTGGCTAAGATAGTGACTCACTCTAAGGGACAGTTTTCCTTTTGCAATTAACATGAAACCCATGGAGTCCTACTGTGACATCCTGTGTATGTCATCTTTCGCAGTAACCTTTATCCTGGTTATGTTAGTGCCTCTTGCATCTCGCTGCCTAAGTTATCATATGAGAATCGCAGAATGATGATTTCCTACCACTCTTGTTCC